ACAATGAAAGTGAGGGGGTGTGCAGGATTGGGGAAAACAAAATTTACACAAAAACCAATCAAAAATTCCTTTAAAAACAAAATTTGGCCCCCCCCCCCCCCCCCCCCATAAAATATTCCTGGATCCGCCCCTGCGCGTTACATTAAAATCAGCATTAAAATTTTCCGACCCACATTAACGTAGTGCACACAACGTAGTGTATTTCTAAAGTAAAATAGATCTGAGTACGCTAAATACTAATTTCTTGTGGCAATACAATGTTAATCACTGAAAAAGTTAGTTGATGATATTAAACATATATTTCAACTCTTATGGCAGGCCAGTTGTGATAGGTGACGTAATAAAAGCGAACAAATCGGGTTTTCACGGCAGTAGGAAGGGAGTGCTTCACGATCGTATTTTGATCTGAGTTTCCTTGGAACACCTGGAAATTAAAAAGTGAATTAGTATAGCTAAAAAATGGTTTCACAGACATGAATCACAAACACGAAAGCCGAATAATGTCAAAACTGCTATTGTCAAACGTTTTTAGTCACGACTTCTCGCACTCTGGTCTTCTCCTTGATTTTATCCTCTTACCTTTATTTGATGAATACATGATTTAGAGCATGTATATTTTCTCTTTCCAGCCAGTTTGCGTCAAGAGAACAAGGAGTGAACAGTATAAAAATAAAACGGTAGGTATTCATGATCCTTTGTCTAACCTTCTCTGCATTGTTCTCTTTGTAGGGGTTCCAAATGATTCCATCTATGGACATGCGTAAAACGTAGCTTGTTGTCCACTCACTAGCTTTAGTTCCTTGCGTTGCTACAGCACAGACAGACTGAATCGTAGCCAAGTCAACTTGAAGATAATCTGTTCTGGGACCTTGTCGGGTTCTAGGGCACCATCCTCCTGAACCTCGCGCTTCATTAAGTCGACCGTAGTATGGGTAATAACTTGAGCTATAGTAGCTGCTGGCCGTCATTTGAGCATTTGGAATCTTGATCGAGTCTGCTACGCCTACGGGCTGACATCCTGGAGAAATCAGTTTGTAATTGCCATCAACATCATGATTAATTAAAAGGCCATACACAAACGTTATCGCTCGTTGCACTCAAGAAGGGATTAGCCCCGAGATGTCTGCATTTAATTTATAACAGTAATCTAACTACTCTCTTTTTCAATTCCTTTTAGTATGAACACTTCAAAACCTTGAACACCATAAATATTTAAGGAATGTTATTAGTTAGTTGTCAGCTTGGAGCTATGTAACGATTTTAATACTTAGAAGAACTATATAATTATTACAGACACAAATAATCCAAGATAAATTGACTGCACGCCTCAAAGAACCCCAAACCTCCGTTCGGACTGTTCAGTGCAGACAAAATTAATGGTGATTTTTTGCTCAATATCAAGAATTTTATAATACATTATACAGTTAATTTTATCTTACCAGTACAGGTTTGTCCATCTCCTTTATATCCAGGTTTGCAGGTACATGTGTAGGACCCAATGATATTGTGACATATTGCATTGATATGGCAGTTATCAGAGTTACTTGAACACTCATTCAAATCTAAAGAGAATATAAATGCAGCAGAAACAAACATTTGAAAAAAATACTACTCGGTGCAGAATGAAAAGCTCAGAATTCCGCGCAAACAAGGAAATGGCTTTTTTCGTGAAAAATGCTAAAGGAATCTGAAATGCCTTTCAAGACTTTCTCCAAGCAGGAGAAACTGAAGATGGCGATTTGAGTTTACTATGTCCACCTGGTAAACACCGCCCTTTCTCTGCTTTTAACACCATTTTGCGCGATCAGCTTTCACAAATTAGGCAGTTTGCTGATGGTTTTGTAGCCTCTTGTGAATTCATGTAATAGTTGTTGGACCTTAGCTTCCAAGGAAGAACGTTTCCTAACGCGTGCCGGAGCCCTGGGAACGTTTTCGTTTTGCTAGTACTGTTTCTTAAAGCATTGGTGTATTGACACGAGCCAAGGCGAAAAGGACAGTGTGTTTCTCACATAGCATGAAGTGCTAGGTTTAAATTGATGTATCTTCCTACCACCACAGGTCTGTCCATTTCCTGTATATCCGGATTTGCACGTGCAGGTGTATGAGCCCGCGGTATTTTGGCAAACAGCATTGACGTCGCAGTCATGGTAATGAGAAACACATTCGTCCAAGTCTGGAAATATTAAAAACAGGCCATTAATCCATAAAAATAAATGAACATATAATTACTTTTAAGCATTAGTCAACTTCCAAATTTTGTATCTCCAAATCCATAACCTTCTTGAAAAATTCATTAAAAAAAAAAAAACGGTCTGAGTGCACTTCGCGCCTGACTGAACGCTTTCTTCTTGATTAATAGTAAATGCAAAAATGGTAATAGTAATGTGGAGTAAAACGTACTTTGAAATCTAATAGCTTATCAGCGGGGAGAACTTTTTGTTCCAGTACGAGTATAATAAATACATACAGAATAAATTTAAGATTCCAACGCCGAATTTTTTGGGGCAAAGAAAACTTCATCAAGATTAATCGAACTACTTTAATGAGATCGCTGCCGTTGATGATTTCTGTCATTCACAAACTTATCAAGAAAATATTTTTTTCACAAAATTAATGTCGTCTTTTCTTTTCGTATCACATGAACATTCAGCCGGGACCTTCTTCAGAAAAACAGCAATCACCAAAACAGCTGCTTCACTGAGTAAATATACATGCAAAGCGGCAGGTTCTATAAAGTGTTAACGTGAATATTACCCGTAAAGCAAGTGAAGTTGTAGCAGTTATCGCACGGTACATCGTTCCAGGTATATCCGTGCCTGGCACCAACAGTATGTACACAGTCTTCATTTTTCCAATTATTTGGTTGGCTTCTTGCCCAGAACCTAAAACTGCTTAATTCTTTGTTGGTCCAGACGAATGATCCTTCCACGCTCCGATCATTGAGTCCAATCCACGATTTTGCGCCGCTATGGCGGTGCTGGATGTAAACATTTTCTTTTTGATTATGGACTGTCACCAAACTCGAGCTCATGGTGGAACAGTTTGACACAGCGGTCAGCCATGTGGCGCATGCCTCACTTGTGATGTAGCAGTAACCGCCAAAGTAGCTCCACCCTGGCCTGCATATATCTGTAGATGAATTACATCGGATGATATTTCAAGCAAAACTTGCAAAGGTTGAGAAAACGCGGCGAAGAAGAACCAAGGAAACCAGGGATACAAGCGAAGGTGCAATATAAAAGCTGTTGTCAAATGTTCAAAAAAATCGATAGCTTAACGTGACAAGCGTTTTGTTGGACGTATCTCGCGTTACGTTGAGACGTAACAAGCGTTACGTTGGGATATCAAAGAACACGGTCTACGGCTCTTGTTCCAACAAGTGCAATTTTTTTAGAACTGTTTAGAACGTTAGAATTTTTAAGAGCACACGAGAAGAGAGGCGTAATCGATCCACCTCACCTGATAAGACCATGTATTGTATAGAGAGAGGATCATATTTAGACTCATGTAATTCCTTGAAACAAACTCTTGCCCCTGTCGTGTTGATATACTGTGAAATGAAGAACAGACCCGTGGTTATTACTTTAGAAGTGTAGATACAAAGATCTCGCTGAGAAAAAAACTTCTTTCTCACTCCGTTCAAATGTACGTCTTGCTGAATTTTTGAAAATGTTACTGCAAAAATAGACCTACTTTCCTTCAACAAGTTATTTTTTTGTTTTTTTATTTTTTTATTTTTTATTATTTTTTTTTTTCAAATTTCCAAAGTAGCTTATGTAAAAATATTAAGAGGGCAACCATCAATTTTACTCTTGTCCTCCTTTCTTTCTCCTCACTGTCTCTGTTATTCTTCTCTTCTTTTCATTCAGTGGTGTGATTGTCAAGCTTACCGAATACAAGAGACTTGCCTTTTTGGCCTGTTCTCATTCAAATAATTGTTAATTTTAAGTGAAGAAAGATGCTGGCGGTTGTGAACGCAATTTATGCAATTGCGTAAGGAGCTTGAAAAAAATTCAGGACTTCAACAGGATTTGAACCCGTGACCTTGCAATACCAGTGCGACGCTCTAACCAACTAAGGGCCTGTTTACATGGAGATGGGGGACCCTAGGAAGTTGAGGTAACCCGCTTTGGTGGGGTAACCCGCCTGTCCATATAGTCTTTAAGAAACGGTCAAGGTAAGAACGATAGCACAACGGCAACGAACATGTTGGAATGCAAAAAAGGTGCTAACTTTTCTATTGTCTGTACTTACTTCTGATTGGCTTAAACGGCAAAAGTTAACAAAACTTCATAAAGCGGTACATATATTCATCCTTACTTTCCAACCATCTTCCATATAACAAAATCTGGTCTCAGTTTGAATAACAAAGAAATCCTATGTGGGGAACATGTAAAATTGTTAAATTGTAAACTTTTCTTGGCTATTGTTTTCAACTCTTGTGATTGGTCAAAATCTTTTAACACAAAAAAACACCCTTTCAAAGTGGAGTGTAAATGCATTATATTGCGTAAACGGCCTTCATGTAGGTTTATGCATTCTCTGTGTAAAAATGAGAACATTCCTATGTGGGGAAAGCAGCGTTGCCGCATAACAAAAGAAATTGCTATCCACCTTACCCGGATCATTACTTAATTTTATAACGGTTACATGATAGTTGGGGTGACCCGCTGCATTTTACCTCACCTATCTGGGTTCCCCCACCTCCATGTGAACAGGCCCTAAGCTACTGTATGAAGCCACTGATGTTGAGAGATTATATGTTGAATATGTTCCCCTGAAAGAGATGAAATGTGACAAATGTATACGAAATAAACCATATATGAGAATTGCGGAAATGAAATCAAGTGAAGAAAGATCCTCGCAGTTTTGAACGCAATTTATGCAATTGCATAAGAACCCTGCAATTGTAAATTGCTTTCGTGGGAACATATTCTACACATAACAGTGGCTTCATAGCTTAGTCAGGTTACAGCATCGCACCGGTATCGCGAGGTCACGGGCTCAAATCCCGTTGAAATCCTTTTTTTTTCAGTTCTTTGTGTGTGTGTGTTTTTTTTTTTGTTTTTTTTTTCAGGCTTCTTATCTTACGCAAGTGCTTAAATCGCGTTCAAAACTGCGAGGATCTTTCTTCACTTGATTTCATTTCAGCAGTTCTCATATATGATTTATTTCATAATTATACATTTGTCAACTACAATTTCGGTAGGTATGTCTTCATTTACTATTTGTTTTTATTACCTTTGAAATTACTTTTTTAAGGTAGCAAGTACGAACGACATCTGGTTCCTCACAGGCGCGTATACAGGTGTCCCAAACGTTCGCTCCTCTACTTTATAAGTCTGTATTTCAGAACGATTGGACTTGGTAAGCAAATCATTGAAACAAAATTTGTCTTTCAATCTAATTCAACATTTTCATACTTGTTGTGCCATTTTTTGACTCCATCGAATATTCGATTTGTGTACTTCCGCGCCAAAGGTGCGCGTGCGCGAGTATATTTTCCAACCACATAATTTTTGTATTTTATAGCCCAAATTGCTCGAACTCCTTCCTTGTTTTTTGTGAATATCACGAAAGATAAATTCCCTTAACGCAAGAACGTTTAGCTTTTTTAGGGGATGAGCATGTATATTTCGATTAACTGGCTTGCCTGTCGTAGAAACTGCTAAAAAACTGGAAAAATCTGAATGTTGGGTGGTAAAATGATCATGGAGGAATAAAAGTTTTGAAGGCAAGAAATGAAGGCGAAGACCAAAAGTAGCTAAAAGTAGCTAAATAGTTTTAAAGAAGGCTAGATACAAAAAAGGAGACTCGACGAGAAAGCTCTCACATATTTAGCAAGCCAAGTCAAGAAAGGGTCACGAAAAGCTGTTTAAAATGTTTAAAATTAGAGGACCTTGAGATGGCAAAAAAAAACTCTGCTTAGTCTGCTAAGTAATGCCCAGCTCGTCTCAAGTTGTAGAGAAGTACAAAACCTTACTGTGGAGGGCGCGCTAGTAGGCCGGGATGATTATCTTTTTTTTGATGAATGTCCAAAATATATTTTTCCAGCTGCCTAAACTAGACAAATATTGTTTGGGGGTTGAACTGTCTCATGATATCAGGCCATCAGCCTCCTTCTTCGTTTGTTTTAACAAACCTGGGTCAAAACTGTATTTAAGATAATTAATAAAGTTGATCAGCCTTATCTCTCGCTAGCGAAATGTGTTACTTGGAAGAAGGCAAAAATTTCCCCCAAAAAATATCTTGAGCCAACAGATCATGATAGCCTATTATGATCTCTCGCTTGAGGTCTACATCTTTCAAAATTTAAATATGAAATTTTGGTCACATGGTAAGTCACATGATCAATTATTTAACATCAAGAAAATTGACGATTTGGTAGTAAAGAGAACTCAGCGGAGCATACCATGAGTTTTTAATGGTGCATTTTATTATTTGTGCTTGTTGGGTTCTGGTACAGTGATCATTTTGCAAACCCCTCAAAAGATCCCGAGGGAGCAATAAGTTTGAAGTTTGAAGTTTATTCATTCATAAACGCATAGCAGTTCGAAAACTGAATTGCGTATTTACGTTACAAAACTTAAATCGTGGATCTAAACATTAACTAACCTATCTTAACTGAAAGGAATAAAAAAGCTAAAAAGAGATGAAATGCTAAAAAAAATTATCGAAATACAGGCTGCGAGATTCGAAAACTCTTACCTATAATTTTGTTGCTTTAAGGCATGAAAAGATAATAAAGCTTTTGTTAAAACGGTCAGCTTTAAAACGTGGCATGTTAAAAGGTCGCGCGCGCCTTAATGATTAGGTATAGATTCGTGCAGTGCAGGTAATAGCTTATAAAGGCGGTGGTTGTGGTCAGTTACAATTGTGTGAAAAAGTGACTCACATCATGGTGGGTTGCCAATTCTTTAAAGTTCATAATAACAATTGTTTGAATTATTTGGCACTCCATAAGGTTCAAAGGCATAGAAAAGTCTGCTTGTCTTACCTCAACCCAAGCAGTTATAGAATTGTGCATTGGATCCAGATTTCCACCAGCTGAAGAATGATTCGCTGATACAAATACGTTCGGAGCACTTTGATAAGTCTTACTGAAGTAGATATCCTAAAAAAGAACCATTTTATGCTTTAATTTAAAAAAACAGAAATGATATCATACTTCAATTTGATTGAATTAAAGAAGAGACAAGACGCTGACCTTACAGAACGCATTATTAAAACCTGCTGGTGGACTGTTGGAGTTTGCAAAGTAAACCGAATTCTGTTCTGAGAAAAGAGGCCTTTGGGAAGTCGAAAACGCCAACCAATTCTATAGGAAAAAAAGGAAAGGAAAGTTGTATTCATTTTATGCATGAGCATCAAAGTTACTTACAACTGTATGTGTTCTGTCATTTGCGCAGTTTTTACCGCGGTTTACGTAAGCTGGCTAGTTAGTCTAGCTTGCGTAAGCAGCGAGACTCATAATCTGCAAGCCGTTTTTCTTCGTATTCAGGACACAAAAAGGAAGTCATGGTCCCAGGCGTTCCTAGCGGAGACTGTGGAAACTGGGAATAAGAATCGTTACGTGACCGAAGACACGCATGTTTTGCGAAGAAAGCTTAGGAAAGATTAAATTTAGAGCTTTTCCAGAACAGGTTAGTCCACGAATTATATCGCTTGAAGACGTTGATTACTTTGGAACAAGTGAACACTACAGTGGTCGAAAAAAAGAAAAGAAGAATCTTAATTAGCAAAAGTGCCATGGTCAAGTGTTGTAAACTTTCATTGTATGCAAATGAATTTTGTGATGGGCATGCGGTATATTTTTGGCGATGATTGAAATGAGGTGCCATGCAAATCACTGTTTTGACCTGTGACAATGATGTAATTCCCTGGAATCAAGGCCCTTGAGTTTTCGTGTATAGCCTGCGACCGCCGACTTATTTCGGTCGTAGCTAACACGCGTAAAAAATAAATTCAGAAACAAGTAAAAAGTAAGTATCCTGAAGAATATTCGACCGTCGATAAAGTAGGAAGAGAAAAACCTTTACCGAGTAAATCCTTAATCGCCTACTCATTTCTCGATTTATTCTCCAAGCAAGCGAGACTTACGCCTCTGTAAGAGCGTTCTTGTTTAGTATACCTTATTATAGGAAATTAACGCTCCATGAAATTAAGGTATTGGAAACTAACGCGAATTTAATGGAAAACGACTTTCGAATAAAGAAAATTAACGCGAAAGAGGAGGTAGAATTTCGTAATAAAGGAAATTAACGCGATTAAGACACAGTTGGTGGTGACAACCATGTAGAACAAATTTATTTCAACACTGGATGCAAAAAAAATCAAAACTAAACAAAACTGAGCTGACATCACTTCTGACAGCGACAACGATGAAGATGAACTCGAAATATTGTAAACCTTCGCCTTAGCTTTTGTGAAAGATGAAAAATAAAGGGTAAATGGAAAGAAAGAAAGCTTGTAGTTAATGTTTTTTAGGTGTCAAGAATGTCTGGACAGGTTCCAAAATTGGGGTTAAAATACTGGAAATTAAGAGCGCGGAAATTAACGTTGCACTTGATTAACGTCGAGAGAAATTAACGCTCAACAAAATTAACGCGACTTAAATTAACGCGAATTTTAACGATTCGCGTTAATTTCATGGAGCGTTAATTTCCTATAATAAGGTATATCTTTAAAGGGGCTACGTCTATCCGCTTAATAAAAACCTAAGACGTGTCTTCGCATCAATTGCATTTAAAAATTATGGTCAAATTAAATTTTGTCACTTAGGACTACGTTTAGGCATTGAAACTGTTTCCTGTCATCTGTTGCTACGCGGGACGGCAAGGATGGACATGAGATAGATTTTATGTACTTGAAAAATGGGCCAACTTTCTCAAGTTTTTAATTATGCCATATATACACTTGCGAAAATCATCCAAAAAGTTATTATGGTTAGTGCTTCCTGATGAAATTTGTTTTATCTTCTTCATGGCTCGAAAAAGCATTTTCTGTATGGGTTAAGACGCTGAGTTATGACTTCGTGCACGATATCTTCGTGATATAGGCTGTTTAATCATAAGCCAAACCAATATTTAGCGTACGAGCTTCAGTAAATCCCAATCCTTTTTTCAGTTTTTTTTCCCATCTGTCAAAAAGAAAATTCAATTTAAATGACACAGTTTTTTCTGTCAAAAACTATCTCCAATTAAAGTAGCCATTATCAAAACTAAGTGCGCAACCATTGCTCTTTTCTCTTCTCCTCCTTTCCTTCACCTCGCTCTCTCTTTTTCTCCTTCCTTTTCCTTCGTTTCCGTAATTTTGGAGCTTATCGGGCTTAAGAAAGCCGCCTTTTGACGCCTTATCACTCAAATGATTGCAAATTTCGTTAGGTTGGTTTTCAAAACTCGGTTACAAACACGTACTGTTTCACTTACTACATAAATATCCTCATGGGAGCCTGCGTAATTTTCAAGTTCCCTCAAACATATTTTACAGGAAGCTGTTGTAATATCCTCCAACCAGACACTAGCGGCGTCCCTCTTCAGCCCAGCATGGTGATGTGCCACCGTCACAAAAACAAAGGGCTTCTTGGAGAACTTGCCCTGTAAAAGAAGAAGACCGAACTTGCTCCTTTTTCGTTCAACCAATCTGCGCGCTGCCATTCCGTTTAGCCTTATGCCATACGTACAAATAGACGGATCTTGAAATCGAAAACAGGATAGAGTGACTTTCGTATGACCTTGAAAAATGGTTTCGGTAAGTGTTCGTTATTTGTTTTATCAGCCACTGGATGAAAAGATCAAAACATGGACTCTGGACGTTTTTCCTCCAAACAAAACCCTAATATGGAGAAGGCATTGTTCGATTGGCCAATCAAGTGTTGCCGTATGACGTCAAAGCGGAGTATCCATTGATTTTAGAAAGTCCTCGAGCGTGCGATCGATCAGTGAGGATTGAAGTTTTTTCACCCGAGCGTTCACTTAACAAACCAAAAGCCACGCGCGTTTGTAGCCGTTCGATGAACCAATCAAATCACTCTATTTCCTTTCGTTTGTTGTTCCTGTTTTTCGCTGGTTTTCATTTCAAGGTCAAACCAAAATCGCTCTAATGAAAAAAAAAAAAAAAAAACTAACCGTAGGAAAATTGACGGTCTCGCAGGTCGTCCCAGTCCACCACTGTGAAATTCGTTGCACTCCTACTACTCCACCCACGGGAGCGCCTTGGTAAGCCAGCCAGTCTACCGTCACGTTAGAATAAGACATTCGCTCGTTAAAACCTGCTGTCATCACACACGCGGTAAATTGATCGTAATTCACATGCTCAACCCACGATACAGAGGCATCATGGACATAAGACTTGTCGCTGGTATCCAGATGATTGACAGTTATCTGAGCTTCAATGGGTTTGTCAGGATAGAAGATAAAGGGTTCCAAACGTATAACTTGACAAAATGAATACCCCAGGGACGGAGTGTGCTGCATGCTGCGACGGCCACGCTGTAACGGAAATCCTATAAAGACAAGGAATGGGCATTTAAATACTAAAGAAAAGGACTGAACACAAAATAGGGTGACGTCCTTAATAACGGCCAGGTAAAATAGGAACAACAAACTATCCTTCTCGCNAAAAAAAAAAAAAAAAAACTAACCGTAGGAAAATTGACGGTCTCGCAGGTCGTCCCAGTCCACCACTGTGAAATTCGTTGCACTCCTACTACTCCACCCACGGGAGCGCCTTGGTAAGCCAGCCAGTCTACCGTCACGTTAGAATAAGACATTCGCTCGTTAAAACCTGCTGTCATCACACACGCGGTAAATTGATCGTAATTCACATGCTCAACCCACGATACAGAGGCATCATGGACATAAGACTTGTCGCTGGTATCCAGATGATTGACAGTTATCTGAGCTTCAATGGGTTTGTCAGGATAGAAGATAAAGGGTTCCAAACGTATAACTTGACAAAATGAATACCCCAGGGACGGAGTGTGCTGCATGCTGCGACGGCCACGCTGTAACGGAAATCCTATAAAGACAAGGAATGGGCATTTAAATACTAAAGAAAAGGACTGAACACAAAATAGGGTGACGTCCTTAATAACGGCCAGGTAAAATAGGAACAACAAACTATCCTTCTCGCATTAGCCACATCGTCTCTACATATACAAGCTTTTGTTTGTAGTAGTGACATAAAGCCCCAGCCTAAAAATTACATTTTTAAAATTTGGCTCTGAAGATTGATTCAAACTCCTTTTTAAATTTTGAGAGTGATAGCGCATAGACACAGATGGCACCTATTATATCGAGGCGGTTAAAAAGACTTAACAAGTGAGGATTGGTCGTTGCAGATATATTTTAAGCAACTAAGACGACGACGAGAACAACAGCGTCAAAAAACAATTGGTTTTATGACCAAAACAACAGCTCTGCCGTGCATCACGCTTTTTAGTACATTTATTTGACGTCCACTGCACGAGTACGACGTGAAACCTCTCAATGCGACGTTTTATAGAGGACCTGGACACACGACGACAAATTTTCCTTTCTCTATTTGAACATGGATAACGTCCTTAAGTATTGACAACTCCAGGAAAAGTTGCCTACATTTGACAGAATTGCGCGGTTCCAAATAAACTCGATAAAGTTTGAAAGGACACAAATTCATATTTTTAGTGATGTTTTCACTGCCGTCGTCGTCTTAGTTGCGTAGGGTCCTTATTATAAGAAGGTCAACAGATGGCTTGCAGAAGTTAAACTCAAGAGAGGGGTCTCTCCGGCTGACAGGCATCCCGGGACAGGCATATCATATCTACCGCTGCCTTTGTTAACCTCCCAGTAAGATACCTCTTCAGCGGTCCTGAAAAAGTACAGAGCTGTGGTGTTCTTGCGCGGCTCTCGTAATTTGCAAATAAAAAAATTTATTATTATAAACCGCCCTAATTATCAAGTCGCTAATCAAAAACTGCAACCATTTAAGTGAAATCCCTTTTGGAGGCACTGCAATATATCTTCCTTGATAGCAGGCCGGGGTCTCTGTAAGCAAGAAAAGTACAATCTTGCTACAATACTTTTAGTGAAGTTTATACGAGGAAAAATAGGACGCCGCCTGTTGTAACCTATTGTTCCTCATATAAATGGCCATATGATTACGCCAACCACAAAGTATTAATGAAAAGTAAACGTAAATCAAGTTGATCTTACCTTCACAGCTACCAGGATGCTGTATTGTAAAGTTCAGCTGCAGGGAACACATTTCTTGTTCAAACAGGCATTTGTTATCATAAGTGGTGCCGTTTGAAGAGCAAACTGGCTCTTGATAGGATGGACAACGGTCTACGCAGACACAGCGAGCATCGTGGGGCCCCATTGCCTTACAATAACCATAGTGCCCACATGTCACTTCAATGCAAGGATCCAAATCTAGCATCATTGAAAGGAAAAGACAGTCAATTTTCAAAGTAACTCTGTAAAGTTATAAAGCAAACCTTAAGCTAGAAACCAGAACAAAGAGAAAGACTGTCACACTCGCAATGCGCGTAGACTGGCATTTATCCCATGCCATAAAGAATACAGCCAATCAGAAAGCTAGAAACACTTAAGAAAGCTCATTCCCTCATGCTAGAAACCTGTAACATATTGTGCGGTATGTAGTAACCTCTCTTCCCCTCAGGAAAAATCGGAGGGGTGCTCTCTACACAGGCTACGCGTTATGTAACGGGCGTATTTCACGAAAACAATCCCGGGAATGCTTGCGGCCTCCTAATCTGCGAGAAATGTAGCCTCTGCTCCGCAGGGTAGCGGCCTCCACATTTCCATGCCGAAAATAGGGTAGATAGTGACAGGCAAAACGTTTCATTTTATCAAGCTTTCTACAAGCAGTTTGTAAAGTACTCTATAAAACCGGAGATTTAACTAAAATTTGGACGTCTTGGGAGTCAAAGTGAGAAAAAAGTAATATAAAACGAAATCAAACTTTGACAGAAGTTTAGGAATTTTCCTTACCTAGAGCAACAAAAGCAAACGTTTAACTTACTTAGAAACGACAAGTCCCGTACGCGTCAGAAACATTTGACATATGTTTCTGTCATTTTCTTCAGTACAATTACAAACTTTATTCATTGACAAGCTGTCGATCATTTGAACACCGTTGTTGGCAGACTAAGTGCGATATTAAAAGTGACTTTCTTCGAGTTTCATACCTGTGATTACGTAACTTTCATCTTTGTAGGATAATATTGCCGGCATTAGTCATTAGAGTTTTGAAGAATAATCCCTTTTTGTTTGTTTAGTGGAACATAAGTATTTATAAGAACGCTTAATTGATTC